GACCCTTCATACGTTTGCAGGTCCTGCATGCCAGTGACACAGGGACAGGTATTTATATCCAAATGCTGGCCCCACTCAGTAACTCTGGGAAGAGAGACATTTCTGCTTTTGGACACGCACTGTACTTTCTCCGTGGTGCGTTGGTACCAAGACAGTGCATCTTGGCTCCTTCCTGCAGTGAGCACCCGTCCCCCTCTCCTTAGCTGCCTTTGGTGGCCCACCCCGACCCGCCGGGCCAGGGGGCAGCCGAACGCTCACATTAGCACAAATGCTCCCGGCATTGTGGGCTTTGGAAAAACAGATTCCTGTGAAGATGACTTGTGTGTAGGCCACAGAGGCGCAGACCTGGTGACTGTCCTTGAGGCCACCTGTCTCAGACACAAATATTTCCATGAGGTGCATGGCAGTGGCGGGGCCTCTGCACTTTCAGCGTGTTAGGGCTTGGGATGCTGTCAGCTGGCTTCTGAGGGTTACAAAAATATAATAAGGAAGGAAGCATATTCTTCACCCAGATGGTCAGCCTCAAACTTTCAAGGTGATTTTAAAACTAGAAAATAAAAATCGCACAAATTTCATAATAGATGCATGGAGACAAATTTAAAATCTCAACCCAGGCCTCTTTCCACTGTGGGCAAGAGCAAAGCATAGGTCTGCTCAGGGTTATTCAGCTGGTTCGCTAGAAGCCGTGGCCTCTTGAACCCTTTGGGACTCTGAGGTGCTGGGGGCAGCCGTCGGGGCTCCTGGGACTCTGGTGAAGGAAATAGGGACCCAGAGACCGCAGCCCCTCCCACGGTGTGCTCTGGCTCCCAGCAGAGCATGGCAGCATTGTCTCGCTGGCTCTCGCCCAGCTCCGTGGAAGCAGCAGTCCCTCCTGTGCACTGCCCACCAGCTCAGGTGACCTCTGCTGTCCTTCCCTGACATCTGCTGCAGCTGTGAACGGAGAGGCCCTCTCGGTGCAGGGGCACAGCCTGGAGGGAGGCTGCAGCGGGCAGGGCGAGTCTGGGAGGAGGTTTTGGAGCCCTCTCTCCCATCTGCCCTCTGTTCCCCTTCCCGAGGCGTGCGACTCTGCCTCCTGCGCGGACGGACAGCACAGCCATGTGTGTGCCGACACCTGCCGCAAACGCAGGGGAGCCCTGGGAGCCTGCTTGCGTGCCGTGCCCCCTCTGCCTGGACTTGTGGATGTCACCTCCAGCTGGCATCTGTGGCCCTTCCTTGGTGCTCTGCCTGAATCTCGGAGCTGAGATGCCGGGGCCTCATCTGCCCTCAGCTCCTGTGGGTGGGGACCCATCTCCCTCAATGGCTCTGCGAATGAAAGCGTAGACACCGGGCAGGACCGGCTTGGCTTCTCCGGCCCCTCGCTGGCCTGTCCCAGAGCAGCTCCTAAGCGGACACTGCGGGGAATCCTGCCTCAGGCCCGTGGCATGCGCAGAGCCTCCTGTGTGGCCTCTGTCCCGCAGGGATGGAAATCACGATTTGGCCCTGCCCTGTCCCAGGGGCCTGTCTGTGGCGCTCACCGCACCTTCCAGCATCTTTGCCACCTGTGGTCCATCCCTCCGCCTGCCACCAAGGAGGGGCCCAGCCTACCTCCTTAGTGACCCCCAGGGCGCCTTCACCCTCAGGTCCCTCCACTCCAAACATGGCTCCTGGCACTTTTTAGCAGGCGTGTATTAGAGGAGAACAACATACAAATGTGCCTCGAGTTCTGACGGGCTATGTCTTCATAAACCCACAGTGAGTAGGAGACACTGTAAGCTGCGTTGAATGCCCTGTACCCTCGACCATCCTAGCGCACCTGGGCCCTTCTGTGCACCTGGGACTTATATCCACACGCAGTGGGGCAGCACCACCCGACACAAAGCCCATCTTGAAACAATGCTCTTGCTGAGCAGCTCCTGTCATGTCGCTGAATGCCCATGGGTGGAAAGTGCCACAGTGCCTCTCCCCTCATGACCTGGGACTGCCTGGTATCCAGAGAGAGGATCACAGTGCATGTCCCTGGCCCAGATCAGCTGAGAATCCTAATTTGGACAGTCACAGACAGCGGCCGCCTGTGAGTGTTTCCGTCTGGTTCCTCTGCACCTGCTGCACCTGCTGCACCTGCTGCACCTGCTGCACCTGCTGCACCTGCTGCGCCTGCTGCACCTGCTGCACCTGCACGGTAGGCTGTGGTGAGGGGCAGGGTGCTGAGGGCACGTCACTTGGGTGTTCACTCCTGGTGGTCCCACCCCAGCAATCAGGTCCTGGAGCCTGGGTCTCTGGGGTCCCTTCTGCAGGTGGCATTTCCCAGCATGGTACTGTACCTCTCAAGCCACGTGCAAACCTTGCTATGCTGCAGTGCAGAGTGAGGGGTGATGCAAATGGCCCCGGCTCGGTGTCCCTGTGCAGTCGCACCCTCCCGTCTTCAGAAGGGTGGTGAATAATCACTGTGGACTCAGGGACCCGGAAATGGAGTGTGGGAGAGCACGACTGTGCCGCTAAAGGTGATGGTCTCACCGGTTCACGCTTGAGTCAGGAGTCTGAGTCCTGGTGGAAGGCTGTGTCCCCAGGAACACACAGGCGGCCAGCAGGTCTGGGGGAACCGTGTTTTGGGGGTGGGCTAGAGGAAAGCTGGTAGGACCTCCTATGTGCTTTTTTTTTTTTTTTTTTCAAAGTCTGTCTTCAATTGGATCCTGTTTCTGTAAAAATAAAAGAAATTCATTATAATGTTAGCAACAAAAAATCTTCCAGTAGGGCTGCATAAAAAGCAGCTTGGGGAAAAGAAAGAGGAAAGCTCACAGCAAAGCAGCAGCCGGGCGGACACATGTGGCCCCAGCTGCAGCTGCGGACCAGAGGAGACTCTGGGTGGGGACATCGGTGGAGGGGAAGGAACTGGGTGGGCAGGGCCCGGGATGGACAGCGTCCTGGCTGGGGGGCTCCTGGGCCAAGCCCACACCATCCACATGGCCTGCCAGGAGCCTGCTCTGTCCTTCCCTCCACAGCTGCTCTCATTCTGAAGGGAACCCTTGCCCTGGGGGCCCTTGTCCCACCCTACTGGAAGTACCAACTGCACCCCGAGGCGCTCCATCTGAGTTTGTGTCACACCACGCTGCCCATTGTCACCTCATCCTGTACCCAGGTCCTCGCTGCAGCCCCCACATCCTACTCCTGGGCCACCATGCTTCTTCCAGGCCGGCCTTTCACAGAAACCACATGAAGTGCCCGTGCTGGGCTGCCGTGGGAGACGCCACACTGCCATCTTGGCCTGCCAGGCCCTCTGCTCTGGCTCGAACCCAAGTACCATCCACGTGAGCTGCCATCCTTCCCCAAACAGCCCAGCAGGATGAACCCAGAGGGCTCAGCCCTGGAGCTCTGGGTGCCACCCACAGCCCCCCGGGAAAGGAGACACACCAGGACAGGGTGGGGCGTGGTAAGTCCCACTGTCAGAATCTTCTGATCCTAAGAAACCAGACACTGTAGGTGACCTTTAACCCAGTCCTTGTGTCCAGTGGCGTGGCCCGATCTTCAGGGAGCCAGGTGGGGTGGGTGGCACCAGGCATCTGTGGGCTGACTTAGAGCCCCTGTGGTGCCTGAGTCTCCCCGAGACCTAATGTAAAGTGCCTTTCCAACTCCCTCTTCCCACCCCCGATGTGCAGACAGGAAGCACCAATGCCCACGTCCCTGCATGGGCAGAGAATTTCCTGATGAGCATCGCACTTGAGTTCAGATGTGCCCTGCTTCCTGGAGGTGGTGCCCAGCCTCGTGTGTCTCCAGGAGCCTTCTCAGCTTACCTGGCAGGTTTTGGGGTGCACCCCATCATGGGACCCGCCCACTCAGCTCTCAGCCTGTGTGGTCAGATGGGTTTCTGAGTCTGGGGCAGGGGAGGCAGGATCCCCTGCAGATGGACGAAACTCTCCTTGAGTGGTGCTGGGTGGGTGCTGTGGGCACATATGGGCCCCCATGACCTGCACAATGGCCAGGTTCCCCCATGTAGATGGCTTCATGATGTCACGGGAGGGTTAAGAGGTCTGACGAAAAATGTGATACGCATTTAAAATTTGAAAATTATTACAGTAAAAGACATGTTACCATGAATCCCCCTCAAAATACTGCCCCCCAACACACTCATCCCATCGTTCTTGCCACTTTTGGCAGCAGCTCTGGAAGACCTCTTTCCCAAGTCTTTATTCTTCCTTCTGCGCTCTCCTCTGTCCTTCTAGGTTTCTTCTGCAGTTAGGGTGCCGTTGCTTTCTCTAAGCTTCCAAAAGCAACATGGCGGCTCATGAGCACCATTGCCTGGAGCCTGGTCAGCGACGGCCGAGGAGATTGCTCCCCTGTGGTGAGCCCTCCCTTGGCTGGCTGGTGTTCCACCGCCCTGAGCCCAGTACCCTTGGGACCCAGTCCCAGCCTTCTTTGCTGCCCCTGCTGTGGCGGCACTAAGTGTTGGCTCCCTGCAGGCTCACCCTGTCCTCTTAGGAGACTCAGCTCAGTCCTGGGGGCTCGTGCGGAGACTTAGCCCCAGTCTGGTGACTGGGCTACAGTACCCCGTGATGCCATACTGATTTTTCCGATTTAAATCATGTCCACAGGATTCTTAACCTTCCTGGTCTCACATCTATGTCTTCTTTTGGAAAACCTTAATTCCTATCAATCCCGCACCTTTGATTTACCTCACAACACCAGTACATACCAAGATTTCTGAAGGGCCATGCCCAAAGTGCCTCCAGCTGTGACTAAATGGACTAAGGTTTGTGTAATTCTTTTTGTCTGTAGCTTACACTCCCAACAGTGGTTCTTTCTATTTTTTCCAAATCTGTTTTAAAACTTTCTCATGTAGGTTTTGCACATTTTTGTTGCGCTTCCCTGAGTAATCTAATGCTGTTGTTGTTGTTATTACTGCTGTTTTTCCCAGTGTCTCCTGATTGCTGTGTGTGTGCAATAAGGGTACTAATTCTGTCTGACACATTAAGGGATCTTTTATCGGTTGTGTCTGCTTTATTGTTGATTCTCTTCATGTTTTCTAGGCTTGTAACCATATCACCTGCAGAGATGGTTGTTTTACGTCTTTGCTGATACACAAACTTGTGGCTACTTCCCCATGGTGGCCAAATAGCTCAGTGCTCAGCCTTGCCCAGGAGCTGGAGGTCATTCTTGCTGACTCTCTGATTCTAGGACACCTCATCCAGTGTTTGTCCAGTAAGTAGACTGCTGCCTTTCCATAAAAATTTTTTGGAAGTCTTTTTTCGTTTTCTGTGTCTGGAATCATTTAAGTAGCATTAAAATTATCTGGTCTTTGCAAGTTGTGAGGAATTCTTGGCATGACCACCTGTCTGGGCCTGCTGCTTCCTTGATAACCCGTGTTTCCTCTGTGCAGTGCTCAGTTTGAGCGCTCTGCCTCTGCGAGGGTTGGGATGGTTTAGATGAGCATCTCCTGCATCCATGAGTTGAAGCCAAGGTCACTGTGGTGGTGCCACTGGAAGATGGTGGAACCTTTGGGGAGGAACCTAGCGGGAGATCCTGAAGTGCCTGGGTGCTGTCCTCCCCGGAGACTGGGGACCTCGATCTCTTCCTCTTGCTTCCTGGCCATGAGGTGAGCACTTTGAGCACCACACACTTCCTGCTCTGCTGTCCAGCAGCCCACGGACCCAGGACAGGAATCTCCATAGAGATAAGGCAAATTAACTCCTCCTCATGTAAGTTAATGATTTCAGGTGGTTCACTGCAGTCAGGGAAAGCTGAACAAGACAAGGGTTAATCCTGATCAGTCATATATTCCTGGGATGCCGGGACTTTGAGTTTCCGAATTTGCATAGGTTTTTCAAAGTAGTTTTTTTTTTTTTTTAATTCTTTTACTTGAATACCTTTTTTTATCCTTGTCATTTCTTATTTTGTGAGTTTTTGTTTTCACCCTTTTTCATGATTAGGTTACCTTGTGGTTTCCCTTCTTTTTTGTTTAACAACTGGTATTTTAATTTATTAGTTCCATTGTTTTTTATTTTTCTTACTAATTAATTTCAGCTTTTATCTTTATTATTTCCTTCTTTCTGCTTGCTTTAGATTACTTTGTTTTTCTGGCTAACTGGATAGAATATTTAATCTACTTCCTTTTGTTGTTTTTAGTGATTTATGTATTAAACTATAAACTTTCTTCTGATTACAGCTTTAATTTTATCCTATTGATTTCACTGTAGTTTTTCAATCATCAGCTTTTGTATGAAATTATGCAGTTTAGGTTTATTTTTGCCCCTTGACCCTAGAGTTTGTAGTTGATAGGTTTTTCTCATTGCTTAGCAGAAAGCTCTTTTTGTTATTAATTCTGAGTTTTGTTTCATAATGAATAGAAAATATTGTTTATATTAGTTCTACTTTCTGAGATTTGCTGAGGTTTGCTTTGTAGCCTGAAATACGGTCACTCTCCTACAAAGTCTGGAGTGCACATATACTCTCTGTTATTGGGACTGGCTCTTTATGGGTGACATCTGAGCCTGGCACTGTGTAGGATTTGAGTGACTATATGGTTTGTTGTTCCCTTAACCCATCTCAAACTGGGAGCAGCCAGCGCCTTCAGTGCCAGCCTTTCCCTTGCGTTCCTGCCTCTCTTGTTGTTTCTGTCATGTCTTCTGGAGCATAGATCCTTAAGTCATAGTCTTTTTTCTGCATGGTGGCATTTAGCATTCTAAATGGTCTTTTCCCCTTCTTGCTTAATGCTTTCTTAATTCCTGAATTCCATCTTACTATATGTTGGGGATTCAACCTGTGCTTTCTTTCTGTTTGTGTATTTCATTTTAGTTTTAGCTTTTCACAATCTCTTTTTGTATGTTTCTCATGCAGCTATAACTGGACTTTGCATGGTGAGCTATTCTTAAAATATTTTCCTTCTAGTTAGTGAATTAAGCTCTTTTAACTTATTGCTGTGACCAAAATGTTTGGCTCCAACTCTGTTGTATTATTTAGTATACATTTACTATGTATAGTATTTCTGTATTTATTTAAGCTCTCTTACCATGTTGTTTATTTTTTGTTGTACTTTTTCTTTTTGTGTTTTTTAAGAACGGTATTTAGGAAGGATTGTATTTTCATATAACTTAATGGATACTTTTAAATTTAAAGATTTCTAATATTTATATTAATACATTAAATACTTCTTATGTCCTTAGTCCTTCCCTCTTTTATTTATTTAGCTGTCTCTTTGGCTTGTTGGTCTTAAGTGAATCTTTTGACTCCTACCTATTAGTACCTAGTTTTACCTGCAAGTCAGTTCATGTCTTTACTCTTTTCTTCTCATTATCCTCCCATTCTTCCTACCTTGTCAAAGCACACAACTTTTTTGTACTATTTCCTGCCTTTATTGACACTGCTTTTGGTTAATTTTTTTAAACCTACAGAGCACCCATGATGGGGACATACTTTGCTAATGGGTCATCCTTGAAGACGTTTGTATACGTCTGTCTACGTGTTTTCCAACTTTATGAAAATCCATGTGTAATTAAACACATCCTGCAGCTGCTGAGGTTCCAATACCTTGTTTTTCCTTTTCTCTCCAGGAAACCCAGATTTTCTCAATATAGTCTTTACGTTCTTTTATTTTTTTAAAAAATTTTATCAATTTAGTATTTTTTTATTTTAAAAGTGAAAGAACAAAATCATATTAACAAACAGACAACCATTTACAAAGTAGCACAAGAATAGTAGAAGCAATACTGAATTACAGACAAGGTGACAGGGAATTAGCAATGGTTGTTGTATTACATATTGATAACTTCAAACTGGTTACTCAGGAAAGCAAATATAGACATGTAAGACTGATCAAATAATTAACCATTAACTATTCCTTTCAATAAAATGATAGAAGTCAATAGTACAATTATGTTAGCTATCCTGTATACGCATATATACATGATTTTCCCCTTCTTTCTTTTTTCTTTTCCCTTATCCCATTTGCTCTTTACTTTTGAGCAGTTTTCTTTCATTTCACAATGTTTATCATACCTCCTAATTTTTATTCACTCTTTCAGATTCTTACACTAGTCAGACAATGCATTGCTTACACATGCAGGTCTGATTTATTTCACTTATGAGTATGGTCTCTAGTTGTGACCATTTACCTATGAAAGCCTCGAGTTTATCTTTCTTCATAGCTGAGTAATATCCCATTATGTAAAGGTGCAATTTTTTAATCCAGTGGTCAGTGGATGTACATTTGGGTTGCTTCCACAATTTAGCTATTACAAATTGCACTGCTATAAACATGGGTGCACATATATCTCTATGATATGAGCATCTTATGTTCTTTTATTTACTTGCGCTTTAGCGTCTCTGTGTTTCTGTCTGATATTTCTCCTGCTCTTTAAGCTAATTTTCTCTTTAACCATGCCTAGTCTACTTTTAAATTCATCTTTATATCTTTGTGTTGATTGCATTTAATATCCCTTTAAAAGACCTTCAAGCTTTTTGCCAAGAATTCCCACTTTGTGTTCTATTCACTTAGTTATCAGGGATAATTATTTTAAAGCTGATGCTTGGTAATCCCATTATCTGAGTCCCCTTTGGGTCCATTTCTTCTGCCTGTTGTTTCTCTTGGTTTCTTTCTCGTTTGCTTTCTTTTGTCTTCTTGTAAGCCTGGTTATTTTTTAATTGATTGCTAGGTGTGGCATATGAAAAACCGAGAACATAACTGAGGTCTAGGATGTTGTCTCCAGACAAGATCTATATTTAACTCTAGAAAGTGGCTAGAGCATTTGCTGTCCCTGCATACCGCAGTCCACTCTGGATCTGAGATGGAACTGGGTGCAGGAGTGATTTAATGCCGGCTCACCCATGCTTCCCAACCCTCGGATTCCCCAGGAGCTCCCTCTGTGGTGGGCTCCCATTCCCTGCTTCTTCCTGGTAACCTGGGGCCTGCTCAGCTTCCTCCCCGTTCTTCTGGAATGGACACAGGACCCTGGAGAGATTCTGGGCTCTCTGCATTCCTTTATTTTCCTGGCTCTGCGCCTTACAATGTTTCTTTGCTTTCCTAGCTGCCTGGTGTCAACAGCTTTTTTCTGTCCAGCCCTTCTACTTTTTCTTAGCTGAAGCATTGGCAGGAATCACCCATTCTCTCATTCCTAGAGGTGAAACTTCTGGGTCGTTTTCATGCGATTTGGCATTTTCCAATTTTTCTAGCGTAAACACATTAAACACATTTCCTTTGTGATGGTACAGAATTAACATGCTGAGGAGGTGCAGCGGGAGGTAGCGGAGTCCGCAGCAGGGGGAGGTTGGTGCGATCCTCCCCTCGTTGTACAGTGTATTTCATCAAAGAAGCGCAGCGTGGGTCCCTGGGGAGCCTCTCGCTCTCCGCGCTCCACGCTGGGTCTCTGCCCGTTAGTGTTGCGAGAGGAAGCGCAGCGACAGGCCGCGGAGAAAGGCCCAGGAATGCGCACTGGCGGCTCTGTGAGCCAGATGTCCGCGCTGCTGCCCCGAGCGTGCAACGGGAGCCTCACGACTGTCTGAGCGTGAGCCCAGAGTTTGCGTGCCGGCGCGGCGCGCTGCGGCCGTTGGAGTGCGCTGAATTGTTTTTTAAGATAAATATTTTGAGTATTTCTTTTTTATGTATCTAGAGCTTTCACCCCTCTTTCTCTTTAGCTTACTTTTTGCTCTCTAGCTTTTGGATCAGCCGAAAAGCCCATATAAGTTTACAACACTAATAGCATGGAACACTGATATTTTGCAACTTGAAGCCAAGTTAAACATATGGCCATTTTAATGTTATTTTGTTGAAAACCTTTTTGGGAATGCCTTTTATTCGCGTTTAGGCAGGTCTAATTATAGATGGACTTTTAGCTTGCGTGTTGAGTGCATGATCTTGTAGGTCTGAGCGAACGGGAAGGGGTTAGATCTCTCCCGCGGGGGAAGGCAAATCCTTGGCTGTGCTGGAATTTGTAAAATATTAACTATTGCTCCGGTACTATTAGTCCCTCTCGTGGGCTTCCAAATACCTTACTTTTAGCACATTTCTGTTACACGAGGACTTCACGTGCACAGTGAAACAGACCGCCTCAGCCTTCATGTGTATTACTGACTGCAGCTCACGTCTCGGTCTCCAAGCGTCCTGCACTGCCTTTGCTGTGCGGGAGGTAACGGACGCGGTGTGGGGGTGCACCGGCTCCCCCTGGGCTCCCAGCACTCCTGGGTGCCTGCTTCTGTAGTGCTGCTGTTGGAAATCCTGCGCTGCTTCCTCCAGCGGCCGAGAAGAGCGGAGAGGAGTTCTTGGCACTTTTCCTGGTGCCTCAGTCTTACAACATGCGAAGTTATAAATCTGAGAGAGGCTTTCCCGGGAGAACTCTGCTGTCAGAGCTAGTGTAGGACGGGAAGCCAGCAGAGACAGCCTGTGACCGTTGTCACCGGGATCGTTAGACAGCCCAGTGAGCGGAGACCTTGGCGAGGACCAGAGGCTTAGGGCAGACCCCACCCAGGACCCACTGGCTCCTTCTGGGCTGGCTGTGGGGGTGGGCTGTCTCCGGGGAGGCAGCTACAATGGCATAGTCAGGAACTGTCCTATCCAACAAGGACTCAGCGTCCAGAATTGACTAGACCTGTGTTTTGGCAAGGAGAATGGACCCTGTGGGTTTGTCTGCACTCCTTCCCCCGAAAGTGGCAAGACAAAATGCACTGACAAAAACCCTAATGATGGGGGTGGTTGCAAGCTCTCCCTCCCTCCTCCTTTCCCTCCTTGCCTCTGTCCCTCACCTGGACCCTCTCCGGCACAGCCTCCCTGTGGGAAGAGGGAGTGGCAGAGCAGAGCAGAGCAGGAATATTCTCATCTGCCTCCTGCTGAAAGAGAGCTTTGGGAAAAAGCCATTGCAGGGGAGAAGGGGAGCAACTCGGAAGGGATCTTTGGGGTGGTCAGAGCACAGGTCAGCTCCTCCTTGGGCCCTGAAGAGGAGGAGAAGCCACTGGGTAGGTTGATGGGGGTGTGGGGAGGGTGGCAGCGGGGTGCCCAGGGGAGGAAGCAAGCCTTGGCCATGTGAGGACTGGGAGGAAGGGGTCTTTGTGGATAGGGTTACGCCAGTGTAGTCAGACTCTGGAGACTCAAGAATATAACTTTACCATAAAATTGTTACTATTATTATTATTATTGTTTTGAGGCAGGGTCTCACCATACAGTGCAGGCTGGCCTTGAACTCGCTTATGTAGCCAGGGCTGGCTTCGAACTCATGGTGATCTTCCTGCCTCAGCCTCCTGAGTGCTGGGATTACAGGCATGCGCTACCATGCTGAGCTTCTAAAATCATTTTTAAAAATTGCCAGAATTATTTGGGGAAAGAGTTTCTCTGTCTTCTACACATAGCAGATCTGAACATGTTAAAGCAAAGTCCGCTGCTTAACTTTCGATGTTCTTAGACCATTAAAAGTGGTACTTTAAGTGTTGTATACACGAATGTTTTTTTAAAAATTCATATAAATGTTTTCCAACATACATACACAGTTTTTTTTTCCCAATAGCCTCAAAAGTTTCAGAAAAATTGCTCCTCCCAAGGTGAGGTCTGATTTATGAACTGGTTTGCACATGTAGACGTGTGTGTGTGTGTGTGTGTGTGTGTGTGTGTGCAGAACATGCCATTGTTTGAGGCTTTCAAAACTCTCCAGTTTCTGCAGGATGTGAAGGACTAGGACCCTGTCCCCACCGTTCTGCTGCTGAGCACAAGAAGTGGAAATTTGCATTTCGTGAAGCCGGATGGCAGCCAAGCGTGGCGTGGGTGCAGGTGCAGCTTGTGCAGGGGGCGGCTCCCCTTGGCACAGGGAGAAGGGTGCACACTCTGCCTGGTGCTGGCCCGGGCTGTCCATCCCTTCTCCGGGTCCATGGGTCTGAGCGGAGGCACAGAGGGCTTTGACCCATGGACAGGAGACTGAAATCCCATGCCCAAGATGCCCAATTGCTGCTCCTCTCCAGATACCCGGAATCCCAGTCCCTTCTGGAAGGAAGGCTTTCTTTGATGTCATACTGAATCTGAGTGGAAGAAGCACCTCACTCTCTAGTGCAGATGGTGTTGGAAAGGGACAGAACCCCGAGCAAGAGTGACCTTGTGTGTCCTGCAGATCCAGGGGCTTCGGGCAGGACTCCCCGGTGGCTCCTCCGGGCTTCCTTGCAAAGCAGTACAGGGTCATTTGAGTGCTGGGAGAGCTGAGCAGAGAACAAGCTTCCTGTGAACAGTGGCGTGTACAGCTGGAGAGGACATGCACAGGTCACCGCAGGTGTGCACACCCACCCAGCCCCACCCGGGGTGTGACCCTCGGCTGGCAGGCGACCCACGAGCAGCAGGGTCCCTACAAACAGCTACCGCAGCGCCTTGCCGTGGGCAGCTGAACCAGGGCTCTCAGCCCGGTGACCAGCCCTTTCCCAGTGAGACAAGCATCAGTCTTGGTCATGCAGACCACTGCCCGGCCCCGGGTGAAGCCTCCAAAGAGGGAGTGACCCGCAAACGCCAGTGAGCCGCTACCCTGCGTCCACAGTGGCTCTTGTTTCTACATATTATTCCTGATGCGTCAACTAGAGCAAACGGGAGAGGGCGCCGGTGCTGTCTCCTTCCTCCAGGGAGCTGGTCCTAGTGCGTGAGAGATGGGGGCACAGGGCAGTGAGGAGGGTTGCACGTCCTGCACCTGCACCTTTGATAAGCCAGCGAGACCCACCAAGCGCAGGGCTTGCATGGCAAGCAGGAGGCAGAAGAAGATGCTGGAAAACACTGTCCAGGAAGGCTATGGCCAAGACAGGGCACCCTGTACCTGGCTCCCAGGAGGGGCTACCCACCTTCCCAGGCCTCCAGGGTGCAGATCAGCTGATCTGCACCCCCAGGTGAGAACCTGGGTGGGTGTGGAGACAGAAAAATAAACGAGCAACTTATGTAACTGATGTGAAGACAACAGTGCACAGTATAACAACCACTGGTGAATTCCTACCACCCTATCTAGTGAAGCTCTGCGTTGTCTCTAATGTTTTTTTTTTTTTAATTATTATTTTCTTATTCTCTTTAATGGTTTGATCATTCTTCCATTCTTACATCTGGTAATCTGAGCAACTTCGTTGAAGATAACAATATGTAATGTAACAACCACGGTTAATCCCTATCATTTGGCTTGAAACCCTATATCATTTTTAATGTCTTTGCTTTGTTTTGTGTGTATTTTGCTATTCTTCTTCTTCTTCTTCTTTTTTACTATGCTCTTTAAAATAAAGAAAAAGAACAATAAATGACACAAGCAAAGATGATACCAAAATTGAATGACATAGATGGAAATAATTTGAAAAATCTAGTTTCCATGAAAAATACTTACTAATAAAAATCTGAGTGTCAAAGTCTGGGTAAATTATAAAATATGGGGAAAGGGGAGGATTAAAGGAGACTGTGAATGTTGCTAATGGCATCCAGTGCTGCAGGACGTGATGGGAGAGGGGTTCTTAAATGTGATTACAGGGGGTATCTTACAGAGCAGCAACTTTTTCGACAGAAAATCACTGAACATCTGCAGCACGTATGACATCATTCTGACACTGATGGCTTGGGAGACATGTACAGAGAGCTGGAAATGAAAACAATTTTTATTTTTAAATTTTTTTGTCTTTTTGAGACAGGGTCTCTCGATGCAGTTCAGGCTGGCCTTGAACTTAGTAGCTCAGGCTGGCCTCAAACTCACAGTGATCCTTCTGCCTCAGCCTCCTGAGTGCTGGGATCACAGGCATGTGCCACCACAACCAGCAAAAATAAATTTTTAAAGGATTATACAAAAGATAATTGGAAATTGGACCATGTGGCTTATTGCTGTAATATATTAAAATTGCGAATATACATTTCACTCTTCCAGTCAAAAGACAGAGGCTCCTTTGGACGAGGCTCCTTTGGATGCCCGTATTTCAGCAGCAAGAGGTTGGAACTAGATAAACTTGATGTTAGCTGCCTACCCGCTGCCTCTGCGTGGTCTTGCCCTGTTATTTAACTTAGATATCTCAACAACAACGACAACAAGATGCTAATAGCCTGTGTTTGCAAGGGCTGTAAACAGAAAGTGAACCAACCAGTGCCATTTAATAAACCAGTGCTCAACATCCTCCCCAAAAAATGGTATAAAGAGGAAGGAAGAAGACTGCTTAATAGTCACAGGCTTAAAAGTAAGGGGGCACTGATGGGTGGGGGAGTGTGTCCTGCTGACACAACTTAAGCGAACCAGACACTAGGATATTCCACATGCAAAGCATGTGGTGGGGAAAGTTCCTGGTGTGCAAACAGATATAATTCGTGATGGTGGAAAAGTCTAAACCCTAGCGACCCAGTGGTGCATGGCTTTTAACCTGTTAGGACATAAGGGGAAGAGTCAGAAGCATGCACTGGAGAAGGTGTCAGAATTCCACCGCGCTTGGGACATGGAGCAGGAGAACCTCAGAGCACACAGTTCCACCTGTCGGCACCCCTGCCCCCGAAGGCCACCACAGCCTCTGTAGCTGGATATGCCGGTGACCGCTTGCTGTAAGGAAGGACAGGCAGCACTGGGACCTGGCTTCGTGTGGGGTGGGCTTGGGGACACGTGTGGGGATGCACACTGGGGCTGTCAGGAGGTGGGGGCAGGTCTGGGACTGTGTAACTTAGCTATGTCAGCTGGAGGAGGGAGTGACGGAGCCTGGCACTGCCGTGGAGAGGAGCAGCCGTCACTCCCAGTGGGTGGGCAAGGGGCTGCTCAATATTTTTGGGGTTTGCAGGTGACATTTATTTATCCTGTTCCATTCTGTTCTGTTCTCAGAAAAGCTTCCCGAGTGGTTTTGTTTGTCTCACTTTACTGTGGTAATTAATGGGTGTTTTTGTAGGGGGAAGGCTTTTAGTCATGAGCTCGGTTGTTTCTGGAGATACCGGACTAGCCAGGCTTCCTTTCTCCTGTGTCAGCTTGGGAAGTTTTTGTGTAAGTTGTTGCATTGTTGTCAAATGTCATCCATGCAATTTTATTGTCATTTTAATGTCTATGGGGTCTTAAAAATGTCCTGCCTGGCCTTCTTATGATTAGTCAACTGTCTCTTGATGAAGGAATTCATCAAAGTTGTGGACAGTTGCCACTTTCGGTTTCATTGACTGTCCCTGTTGGGTCTCTGTGACTGTCTCCATCACTTTTTATTATTTGTGCGTTTTACTGATGCAGTTGTATTTATTCCCTTCATCTTTATGTCCTTCCTTTTTCTTTGGCTTCAGATCACGGCTCTTTTACCAGCTTCTTAAGGTAGAAATTTGGACCACTGATTTTACCTGTTTTTCTTTTCAAGCACTGGAAGTTTAAATTCCCCTAAATACTTTGGCATCCCATGGACCACAGATGTCGGTTGGCGTGTGTGTTTTATCATCAATCAGTTGAAAGCACTTGCTAATTTCCTTTGCGATTTCTGCTTTGATGCCTGAATTATCTACAATTACATACTTTTCAACTATTTGGAAATTTTAAAGATCTCTTTCTGCTACGGATTTCTGGTTTACTTCTGTTATGGTCAGAAAACATATTCTGTAGGATTTCAATGTCGATAACTTTATTAAGACCTATTTGATGGAAAAGTGTATGCTCTATCTTGGTGAATATCTTTGTGTACTTCTAAGGAATATGGCAACCAGGCATGGTGACAATTGCCTGTCATCCCATCATCCCAGCTATTTGGGAAAGGAGGCAGGAAGATCGCAAGTTCGAGATCAGCCTGACCAACTTGGCAAGATCCTATCACATAAAAAGGGATGGGGGGGATAAGGAATATTCTGTAGCTACCGAGGATATCAGTTACGTTGAGCTGGTTGGTGGTAAGGTCAGGTCTTGTACGTCACTGTCAATTTCTGCCTTCTTGTCCTTTCTACTACTGAGAGAACAACAAGATGTTGAAATATCCAATCACAACTTCTAATTTATTTATTTCTTAATTCACTTTTACTTGTTTTGTGTAAGGTATTTTGAAGTCCCATTATTCATGATGTCACGTTTAGGACTTTTGTGTGTTTTTGGTCAGTGGTGACACTAGTCTCCGGTCCTCTGACCAGTGCCTCTCTACTGCACCATGTTTGTTGGGGAAACAGGTGGCTGGACACACAGGGCAGAGGGATGTCCACAGGCCTGATGGAGCACGGGGGCACTTGGGGAGCAGGAAGGAGGGCCACTGTGCCAAGGCCTCTCTCACTTCATCAGTGCCTCCTGATGCCTCCTTGTGCCCCTGTGCTACGGACACAGGACGTGGCCATGGGCACCGTTTGTGGCTTGGGAGTGCAGATTCCTGCAGTAGAAAGAGGCCTCCAACAGCGCACCATACTTCTGACTCTAAGGACATAGTTGCTGTTTGCACTCCGTCTGTCCTGGGCTCATTTGTGTGTGGCTATGTTCATAATTGATACTCAGTCCCAGGAAGAGCGTTGTGACATCTGATCTCATGACACTCCGGGCCCCGAAGAGTGTGGCTGGGTGGTCTGGGGACAGGGCGTGCGTGTCTGAGAGCCCGTGGGATGCAGGGTCTTCCTCACCGTGATCCCTCAGCCTGCGGAGGTTCGGGCAGGAGAGCGGTCCGAGCATTCAGTGGGTTCCTCCAACAGGCTCAGCTTGGGTGTCTTGCTAGGAATTGCTCTGGAGTGCAGGGTTTTCTGGAAGACTGAGTGCACATGGAGAAGGAAATCCTCCCTGGAGGGTGGCCGGGAGGATTTGGGGCTTAGTGAAGTCTCCACAGCCGTGCCATGAAAACATGCAGAAGGGTTGCTTTCCCCCACCACTGCAAAGAGAAGGGACCGTTGTGTATGTTAGGGTCGTCAGAACTTTGTAGAGGGGAAGAGGCCAGCTCACGTCCTCCACTGGCTGGGAGTCCTCTGTCCGTCATCACAGGAGCCCGGTCCTGTTGCACTTGGCTTTCCCCTCAGCCACTGGTCTCTGGGATCTGCTGTGTGACCGTTAGAATTTCTCATCCTTCAACTTTTATGCACTCAGGTGGGCCTTTCGTACCCTCCCCGCAGGGCTGGCAATCTCATGGACTCCAGCTGTGGGCAAGGGCTGCCTGGCCTTGATGGGGACACGGGTGACTGCCAAGTCTTTCCTTTGGAAGTTGGGGCCCCCCGGGGCATGGGGGGCAGGGTTGAAGTGAAGCACTCCGTGGAGGGCTGGTGGTTCCTGTACCTCCAGACCCGCCTGAGGCCACAAGGCCAGCCCAGCACGGCCGCTCTCACGTGTGGCGAAGCCCATGGCTTAGAGTGGCCAGCGGTCAGAGCAGAGCCAGCATTCAGGCCCTGACACCACTGCAAATTGCCCGGGAAGTCACAGACACCGGGCCCCACCTGCTGAGCTGGGTTTCCTCGTCTGCCACAGGAGTCTTCTTCCCTGGGGGGCTGTGGTGGATGAACTAACGGCCAACTTGGAACACCCAGCTGAACTGAGTCAGCGTGGTGCTGGGTGTGCACGGCCCAGCTGAGGACTGCTGCCAGCAGCATAGAAGGAGAACTGGAGGGGAAGATGGTGCTGTCGACTCTCCCAGAGAAGCTTGTCACGCTGGCTTTCCAGACATGAACTTGGCAGTTCTCACAGTCGGAGGAGCTCGGGTCCTCGCTGTCACTGAAGTTCTCTTTCGGGGAGCTCTGGTCTTTACCTTGAGCCTCACCTCCTGGCTCCAGTGCAGGTCACTTAGGCTGCTGGCGCAGATCCTTCGCCCCACTGGCACAGACTTTCTAGCTTCCCGCGTTGGCCTTGGGGCCTTCCCAGTGCAGACCAGACATGTGTCTCAATATGGACATGTATGAGACATTGCCATGGGCGCTAGTTCTTCAGCTGAACTCCTGCAGGTTGTTGCCATGGGATCCAGACCCCGAGCTGGATTCTTCGGGTCTATAGTGCACAGACAGATCTCTTGCACTGTTTGGGTGAACATTATAAAATAAACAAATTACGAGTCCTGTGTTAAATCTACTGCCTTGGAAACCCTGACTACAGCAGGGGTCTTGAAGATTCAGAGTCCTGGTGAACAGGAGGACGGGATGTTGGGTTGCGGG